TTGACTGGTCATACGTGATCTTATAAAGCATGATGCTCGGCTGTGATTAGTTGTTTTTCAACATCTCTGATTGGTGCATTTCGATGCTTGCTGTTCACTCAGTGATTTGCTCCCTCGGCGATCCGCTGTCGCACGGCTCTTCTGTTGTTGTGTTTTTTGATCGTGGGCATCCACGTTTCTGGAATTTATATTCCACTATCTACTACTATTCCAGTAGTACTAATAGTAGTAGAAGTAGAAGTAGTTGTGGTATTAGTAATAGTAGTAGTAGTTGTAGTAAAAGTAGAAGTAGTTGTGGTATTAGTTGTAGTAATTGTAGAGGTAGTAGTAATAGAAGTAGAAGTAATAGCAGTAATAGTAGTAGTAATAGCAGTATTAGTAGTAGTAGTAGTGGTAATAGTATTAATAGTAGTATTAATAGTAGTAGTAGTGGTAATAGTATTAATAGTAGTAGTAATAGTAATAGTAGTAGTATTAGTAATATTAATAGTATTAATAATAGCAGTAGTAGTGGTAATAGTATTAATAGTGGTAGTAGTGGTAATAGTATTAATAGTAGTAGTAATAGTAATAATAGTAGTATTAGTAATATTAATAGTATTAATAATAGCAGTAGTAGTGGTAATAGTATTAATAGTAGTAGTAATAGTAGTAGTAGTGGTAATAGTATTAATGGTAGTATTAATAGTAGTAGTAGTGGTAATAGTATTAATAGTGGTAGTAGTGGTAATAGTATTAATAGTAGTAGTAATAGCAGTAATAGTAGTATTAGTAACATTAATAGTATTAATAATAGCAGTAGTAGTAGTAGTAGAAGTGGTAGTAATAGTAGTAATAGCAGTAGTAGAAGTAATAGCAGTAATAGTAGTAGTAGTGATATAAATAGTATTAGTAATAACAGTAGTAGTAGTAGTTAAAGTATTAGTAGTAGTAGTAGTTATAGTATTAGTATTAGTAGTAATAAAAGTATAAGTAGTAGTTATAATACTAACAGTAGTAGTAGTAATAGTAATAGTATTAATAGTATTCGTAATAGCAGTAGTAGAAGTAGTAGTAGTAGTAGTAGAAAAAGTGGTAGTAGTAGTAGTAATAGTAGTAGTGGTAGTAATTGTAGTAGTAGTACAATTAATAGTAATAGTAGTAGTATTAATAGTAGTATTAGTAGTAGTAGCAGTAGTAGAAGTAGTAGTAATACTAGTAGTATAGTATCGATAGTAATAGTAGTAGTAGTAATAGTAGTAATAGTAATATTAATAGTATTAGTAATAGCAATAGTAGTAGTAGTAGCAGTAATAGTAGTAGTATAGTATTGATAGTAATAGTAGTAGTAATAGCAATAATAGTAGTAGTGGTAGTAATATTAATAGTATTAGTAATAGTAGTAGTAGTAGTAGTAGAAGTAGTAGTAGTAGTAATTGTAGTAATACCAGTAGTAAAGGTAATAGTAATAGTAGTAGTAGTAGTAGTAGTAGTAGTAGTAGTAGTAGTAGAGTAGCATTATTAGTAGTGGTAGTAGTAATAGTAGTAGTAGTAGTAGTAGTAATTGTAGTAATACCAGTAGTAAAGGTAGTAGCAATAGTAGTAGTAGTAGTAGAGTAGCATTATTAGTAGTGGTAGTAGTAATAGTAGTAGTAGTAGTAGTAATTGTAGTAATACCAGTAGTAAAGGTAGTAGTAATAGTAGTAGTAGTAGTAGTAGTAGTAATTGTAGTAATACTAGTAGTAAAGGTAGTAGTAATAGTAGTAGTAGCAGTAGAGTAGCATTATTAGTTGTGGCAGTAGTAATAGTAGTAGTAGTAGTAATAGTAGTAGTAGTAGTAGCAGCAGCAGCAGCAGTAGCAGCAGCAGCAGCAGCAGCAGCAGCAGCAGCAGCAGCAGTAGTAGTAGTAGCAGCAGCAGCAGCAGCAGCAGCAGCAGCAGTAGCAGCAGCAGTAGCAGTAGCAGTAGCAGTAGCAGTAGCAGTAGCAGTAGCAGTAGCAGTAGTAGCAGTAGCAGCAGGTGGTGGTGGTGGTGGTGGTGGTGGTGGTAGTAGTAGTAGTGCCATTAGTAGAAGAAGCAGTAGTTGCAGGAGCCGTAGTGGTTGTAGCGTACTATAATAAGTAAAAGTAATTGTTGTATTAGCAGTAGTTGTTTAAGCACTACGATGTTTATATATCAGTGCTGAGTTTATGACGCGTCTGAATTTTTCTATTCAAGAATATCCGCTCGCGTTTTTCTTTAATCATAACTTCGTAATTGACTAGTCTACGTTCCACCTAATTCATTTCTTATTTCAATCTTCAGTTGTAATTGTAGTTGTAATGGTAATGGTACCCAGTTTTACTGCCTTAATAGAGAAAACTGATGAGACGATGTGTGTGACACTGGCATCTACCGAGCTTGCGAAGTGTCATAATCCACAAAAACAAGCTCGTACTTTCGGACGCTTGCAGTCCAAACTTTGAACTGTTAACGGCGTTTGTCTCAAAAGCATATCCTGCCATGACAGTTATGAATAAGACCTACCTTTCGCTATTATGCTGGCTGAGAAGAGTGTTTGGACATCACTCTTGAAAGAAGCAATTACATCTAAATGATTGAAACACGTTTAAAATTTTGAAATATTAGGATATTTTCCCCGTAACGAGTTTAATATATTAAGACATCATTGCATGCTAAGCGCCAGCGAAGGCCAATAATTTCTTTAGAGACAGGAAAGCAATAGAGAAAAAATAGAAAGGTTTTCTTTTATGCAAATATTTGCTTGAAAAACACGGATGTAAATCAGTTACGCTTTAAGTCCAGCCTGAAGATAGACTCATGATTCATCTAGACTTCGCTTTCAAGAGCAGAAAGATCAATATGGAAGTAAATTTAAAGAAACAGGAGCACTTAAAATTGTTTGCTTTTTTGTTCGTGCCACTTTTACACTAATCTATGACTTGGAGAACATTGGCTCGTTGCTCACTTTGGAATTATAGTTATCTAAAGTTTATGTTCATGTAGTAATGAAATGTTTTAGTGATACCTTTCCCACTTTAGTTCTAAACTTTAAAAAAATAGGCTCGCATATTTATTTCAGATCAACAGCATTCGAAATTGGTGATAGTCCTAAATTTGAACTAGAAATACCCTTAGTGTGGTGAATTGTGCTCTTTTGAGGAAGACTAGAAAAAGTGCATGTGCAAAGAAAAAACGCGTGTCAATTGCTGTGCGCACAAACCCAACGCATTGAGTTTTTTTTACGCTCTGACAACTTTATATCAAGGTTTTATTTTTCCTCTGGACGGGTCCACAACTCTGTCTGTCTGTCATTACCCATTAGTTAGTTTCTATAGCTGTGTGAAGCCGTGATTTAAATCGTAGAAACGACTTCTATCTTGTAGCGGAGATGAGTCTGATGCAAACTCTATTCAATATGAAAATAACTCTCTGCACTCATCAAACTAGTCTGCAGTTCAGGCGTAATTTTAACGAGCGAGCACTCACAATTTTTTTTAAGCAAAAACCATGTACGCTATGTATGATTCTTATGGCAGCAGAAGGCTAGGGAGAGAAAGAAATTTTTAGCAAGGGGGGTGGGCGATGGTCAAAATTAAGGAGAGGGGTAGTGGTGGGGGAGTGTTTTTTAGCCTCTCCCCGCCTTTCCCTGGTAAGGTGAAAAGGGGTCAAAGGTACAACCTTACACGTGCCTGTAATGAGCTGTATCCTGAAATCAGCTATAAAACAGTTCGATCATAACAGAGAATGTGCGCTCTCTTTTCGATTCGTCGCTCTTGGCTCAGTGATCTGACCATGATTTTCCTAAAACAAACACAGAAACACCTTAGGCCTGTTGCTGCGATGAAACTTCAAAGATCGTGCCTTTTTCACCCCCCTTCAGAGCAGGAAAAGGACCCTTTAGGATCGTAATCAAGGAAAAAGCTCAGCTCGTTGACCCAGCTGAAATTTTCTTCTGTAACCTCCCTGGTCCACCTTCAAGGCTCAAATGATCCTAAGAATGAACTATTTTTAGTTGCTTCTCAGTTAGTCTTCAAGTAACTAAAATGTTATGGTAACAGAAAAGAACACAGCTACCCATTCTTAACATAAAAATGCTGCAAACTAAACATTCAGTAACGGGAATTTTTTGTTCTAATCTTGACCTAAACACCGCAGGCAAGAAACCGTCTTTGTCAGTCTTCGTCGAAATCTTCGTTTGATGCACGCGGTTCTCCTTCTTAGGGCTGAACCGTACTCGCAACGTACATTTCTTCTTTACTACTAGAGTACGATGCATCACAATTCTCGGTAGAGCTTGGTGAAGGTAGGTATACATCGCTATCGGACATAATTTCAAGAGTATTTCAACGCTGACAGATAAAAATTACAAGAGATATGAGATATTTGTAGGTGTCAACTGAGAGTTTTCACAGTTTTCTGCGTCATCATCCGCCAATCCGTTACCAGTCCACGGGACACTTTTAAGACGAGCACTTTAGGGCCCGAAAAAAACCGAATTTTAGATTTTTTGAAAATTTTCTCCAATTGGAATTGGTTTGAATATATAATAAGCTAAATATTTACGCAAAAAAAATTTCGTGTCATGGACACTTTAAGAGATATTCAAATCTGACGGATTTGTTTTGGTGTAAGGCGACCTTTGAACAGCTACAGTCGTTATGTCATATCGCTGGGAAAACTCTAAGCCTCTGTTTTACGACAATCCTAAAATAATAGTATTTCACTCTTTTCAGCTTTAAGAAATAAGGTATGTCCCAATGTCTCATTTTGAAAGGGCATAGAACGGTTCAGCGACATCCATTCCAGGTTTTTTTCGATGTCAAGGCTGACAAGCTAGTAAGTTATATAATTTATGCTAGATACATTACATAATTTATGCAGAGGTTTGTGCACGTGCAGGCGCACACGACTTAGTCTCACGTGATCCGTTGATGAAAGCGTGGCATACAATCAACTTTCCCTTAGAAATTTCTCTGTTGTGTCATTTTAATCTTTGTTGTGGTTGGATGTTTAAAGAAATCTTGTTTCACGCTGAAAATTGGTCCAGTTTCCCAATGTGTCACCATTCAGATGCTTTAGTTCACGTGCGTCGATCTTTGTGCTCACGTGATCTGTTAATTCTCTGCGCATAAAAATGCATGGAAGCTCTTTACGATCAAGCGTTCTTCGCTTAAGCTTAACGACATCTTTACTCTAGAGGCGTTAATTGAAAATTTCTTTGGCTTCTTCATGGTGAACAAGAAACGAGTAACATTCGCCGATATATTAGGATTCTCACTGGTGTCTGTGGTCGAAATTTATCCTGAAAACTGGTTTCCTGACAGAATATCTGAAAAGCACAGATCTCAAGCTAAAAGTGACCGTAATTATCGACGAAGCCAACTGAAATGCTTGTTTGACCAACCAGTGAACACTGAGGACTTCCAAAGAAGAGTGAAGCGAGAGCATGTTTGTCTAGAAAATGTAGTCTGTGACAAAAATGTTATCCGAGGATTTGTACGTGTGTTGAACGTCGCTTACGCGAAAGAGGTTTTTGTACGTTACACGATGGACGGATGGAAAACCTTCAGAGAACAGAGCGCCTACTATTTGTCGACCTCAAAAGACGTAACTACCGATACATTCTTTTTTGGCGTATCTCTGCCCTCAGACTGGCAAGATGCAAGCACAGTGGAGTTCGCCGTTTGCTACCGTGTTAGCGGACAGGAGTACTGGGACAATAATTATAAGAGAAATTACTCTATACGGCTTGGGTTCAAATAAGGACACGGTGACCTTACATGAAATCAATAGCAGGGTTAAAAGGTTACCTTCTGAATTCTAATACCATGTGTTTATTAATAGGAAAAAAAGAAGAAGAAAAACGCGCATTTCGATATTTCCTCATGTTGCGTGAATAGCGTGACAGTGTAGAAGTGCACAGTCATTTGCATGTGTCCATGTATTCGTGCGGGTTTTCGTTTTGATGAATTCATACCTTCAATGTATTGGGAAACTATATCTGAAAGAAAAAAAACAGTAAAAAGAAAGAAATGAACAAAAAAAAATAACAGAAATATACAAGAAGTGATATAATTCGACAATTGTTCACATCGCGTGACGTGCTGTATTCGATGGCGTGACAGCGTCTAGGGGGTTTGTATGCGACAAATATCACAATTTTGGTTATATCTGCACAAGGTCTGAGGCTTAGTTTGCTCAATTTTACAAAATTTTAAAAATGAGATACGGTCTTGAAGCCACTGAATATTGTGATCATCCAGTCTGCTTTATGGACCAAAGCCTGTAAGCCGACCTAATCGCTACGCTAATAGGGTCGAAAAGGAAAATCGTCGAAGTGTCATTGGTTTTACTGTTGTCTCTTATTAGCCAATTTCAGAGTATTGCAAAACAGTGTAAGTGCGTATCCTGCCTTGCTTATAAAACTCATTCTAAAATCATTCCTAACACAAAATATCCCGGTATTAAAAGAATGATTTACCCGTGGGAGGGGAAGGGTCTGTGGGAAAATGATCGAAGAGGTTTCCTCCCTTGATAGGGATCTCGACGACTTTCACGCCCTGTCATAGGGTCGGGAATTTGACTTGCCGCCATCTTGGATGACCGCGTGAAACTTGAAAGTCACCTAAAGTCACCATGTAAGGGTGGGGAAATTAACTTTTAAAACCGGGAAATGTAAAATTCCCCCAGGGTCACCCGTCCCCCCTCCCCGTTCCCTCCATCCTGGAGAAAACTAATGATAGATGCATTAGTTAGGAACGTACCATCCTATTTCGAAGGGGGTTGAATCCTTTTTGTGCTTAGTATACCTTATATCCTGTACAAGAACTCTTCCAAGCCTTCCCATTTACCGATTTTCTTTACTCAATAAATGTCAAAACATTTTAACTGTCGCAGAAAAAGTTCCAACTTATGGCTCTCCCTTTGTATCCTAATATCTAAGCACATTCAACTATACAGAGGAAATTACTACGACGAAGAACGGGGAAAGGCGGGACGGGATATGGGGACGGGGAAAAAAAGGTTTTTTTTTTTTTTTAAATTAGAAAGAGGCAGTCTTAGAGTGTGCTTTCTTAGTTTCAAACCAGAGTATGAAATCTATTGTTTGGTGAAGGGACAATTAGCGTCAGCTGAATTTCAAACAACAAAAGACAATTAAAAATCAGAAATATTCTCACGACAATGATGGAACTGAAGTGTGTTTTCCCAACTTAAAGATTTAAACGCCGTCTCTTTTGAGTGCTTGTGACAGTAAATTCCTTCTTAACTGAAAATTGGTAATTTCTAAGTGAACTAGTCGCTGTTTTCATAAATGGCCTCGCAGACGAGGTGACAACCAAAGGTAATGACTATGTAAATTGAGCTATTAAGCAGAACAATTGATCCTGAATCTTGAAAAAAACTACTAATGAAAAAAAGGTTTTCAAATTCCCTTTTGAAAGAAACGATACGGTGAACTAATGGGCTCGTTTGAAGACGCAATGACTCGCTTCCGAAATCGGTTGTAAAGTAATTTCAAGGTAGACTTTACATCTTTAGTCGGCCAGCTAATGGCCATGGATCTTATCTGATGCAACTAAAAAATTTACCGCGCTTTTTATGTACAAAGAGCATTTTACGCCTTTTATGACTTCATTGGAAAAAAAAAAGTGTTAAAATTACAAATGTTAAGTGTTAAAATTTCCTTTTTTTTAAGCCGCTCCTCTGATCTTAAAACAGATTTTGCTTAATTGGTTTTAAAACCAATACATTCTCAGAAAAGCAATTAATGTTTGAGATGTTTAAGTTTAAAAGGAAATTGCTGGGCGAAAGCGATTTCATTGTTTTACAGTCGAATTTTTAGCATCAGTTGAGATATATCTTATGTACAGCTAGTTCATTGTGCTTACTAACGTGCTGAGAACTGAATCAAAACATTTTAACTGATTGTTAGCTGATTTGGGCAATTTTGCACTAACAAATTTTCGCTGTCTTTCAGTGATATTTTGTAATAAAACTCTTACGGAAAAAAGCAGTCCATTTTCTCCTGGTAAAAGAAGTTATTATATTCGTCAACATGGATAATCAAACGCAGAGATGTCTTACTTTACGGACATCAGCTGAAACAACTATGAAAATTTTGTGCTTCAATTGCTGATTTTTCTTTTGGGAACAGTTTCACCATCTGTTAAAAATTTTGCTCCTAAATTTTGAAATGTTTAATATTTCAGGTTTTGATCAGGGGTTTCGTCAACATTTCAAATCATAGACAAAACCTTTAATGTCCTGCACTTGTCAAAACGCGTCGTATGAGTTAACTCATAATGTCTCTCGAAAATTGCGAACAAATGCCTCATTTAAAAGGACAGCCTTCTCAAAGGGTTCTACTTTTGCGATAACTTATGTCTTAAAAGCTTAATCAGAGCATTGTTAACACAAAAAATTTAAGAAATTTATTCACGCCTTATTAAAGAATTAGGCCTTGATTTTATGTCGCATGCAAGTTTAATTTAAAGAGCTTTTCTCCAGTTCAATATACTTTATGATGTACAGATGCATGGATCGATAAACTTCCAATATAATAGTGTGCTGTCGTTGAACAGATAAACCTTCGTATGAAATTCATCCCGTTTGATGAGCGTTTACGTCCATGTAAACTTTCGTATGTCAAGTTAAATAAACAATTTTAAATGCAAAATCTCTTTTTGTTGAATTTTGCCCTGCAAAAATCACCATCTGAATAAACCCAAGTGGATTTTGTGGAAAATAAAAGTGAAAGATTCGGCATTTTAATGACTCAATGAAGTCCATTAGGCCGACCTACTCTAAAGTTTTCTGTCAAAGATAAGCTAAGAGATTTTCCTAACGAAAATATTGTGGATTCGATAAGAGAAAGCAACTTGTGCTTTCTTGAATAAATGAAGGAAAGAATTTTAAAATATACCAATAGCGCGTAGCCTCTGATTATCGGGCTTGTAAAGTGTAAGGGGTTTCCCTCTAGCTTGCTATATAGAGGTTTGCTTTGAAAACTAAGCTTCCTATTCAAGTAATATTTTAAATAGAGAGACCGAGATTCGATGCCACCCTCTAGCTTTAAGAACTGCCGCATTTGGTAATAGGGAGAATATTGCTCATATCTTTCAACTTCCACGTCATTTATCAAAAAGTTTGAGGCGTATATAACAAGCAGGTTGAAAAAAACACAAAACTAGTGTGAACAGCCGTTGTTGTGTTGGCCTCATCACATGAAAGCTGTGAAACAAACTCTCACCAGAAAAAGTCGCTAAATTGTTAAAGTAAACGAATTTAGTTCTTTAAGGTCGTAGTGACAAACTGTAAAGCCGGAAGAAGCTCTCTGGGCTGGGAGAAATCTAACGTTTTGTTCAAGCCATATCCCGACCCTCAAGTTTAACCGAAGAAAAAAAACAGAAAATTTAAAAACTCTACCGAACTTGTAAATTTCGATCTAAACTGAAATAAGAACAGAAGCACAGGACTAGTAAAAGCTATATTTCTGCTTTCTGTTGAAATGTTCGAAATTGAGGATAGTTGACTCTGGCAACATCGGCAGAAAACTACATTTTAGCATTAATCTTTTAGTTCAGCGAACTTCTGCTGATACAAAATAGTCACGAATTTTCTGCGTGGAAATTAAATTGGAATTTTTGCATGCGGCTATTTCGTAAGTACAAATTATATTTACTTAACCTGTTTACCTAATGCGTAAATAGAAAGACAGCGTCATTTTCTGAGCCAGCTGTTTCACCCAACAAAGGAGAGCTTCTGAGGAACTTAAGCAAGCATACGTATGTTGACGCAAACGAAAACAATAGACTGTTTTGCATCTTCAACTAGAGGTTCCCTTCGATTGCCGCTCAGGCCACATCTTAAGGGATACATTCGCCCTTTTCTCGTTTTATAAATGAAAAAACAGCTTTCAATGATACATTGAACAATGATAACATGTAGTTTTGTCAGTAAATTAGATGGACATAATCTTTTCTTTTACGCGAATTTTCCTCTACTGGATCATGACGAAAATGTTGATATTCAAGTCCAAACGTTTTTTTGGGGGAATATATTTTTAAGAGATAACATTCATTTTATATAATCTCCAAACAGATCGATATGCGCTGATGAATGAAGCCTATCGTACACAATTTGTATTTGCGGCATACAATATCAATACTGCCAGATGCCTCGATTATACAATTCTTTATTACATTGAATTTTTATAATTCCAGCGGAAAGGCGAAGCTCGCTTATTTATCTCTTTGTTAATCAGCGTAAAAACTTATCTTTTGCTTTGAAACGGCTAAGAATTACAAGAAAGGGGAGTACATTTAGCAATTTCCTGTACGCCTACAAGGAGAAGAGAAGGCTTTTATTGAGACAGCTACCTGCATTGAAACCAATCACTGGTTGGCGCTTTTAACTTCCGTTCCCAAACTCCACGACGACGTGAAATAAAAGCGAATATACTTATTGCATTTTATTTGCATGTTACACTGACAATAAGTGAAGGCCGCTCTGTCATTAGAAATAACAAACCCCCTGGATTGGTAGGTGCCCAAATCCCTCAATTGTTTCATGAGAATTTTGATCGTTAAAAGCGCGCGCGATATTTATGACAAGAAAAAAAGTTAAGGAAGCCAAATTTTTTTTTCTGAAAAAATACTCTGAGAGAGCGGATATCAAATTTTAGGTCAAATTTGGAAGAAAGAGTCGTACAGGCGAAGGGAGCAGATATCAATTTCAGTTCGTATATAATTCATTTAAATTTTCCGCAGCTGCAAAACCAACTCGAAGCAATTTTACCTCCAATACTTTTCTAGAAACTTCGCATGTTTTCCCCGAATATCAATAATAACGATAATTAAATTCGATTGCATTGTGAGTTCTGATGCCGCTATCGAAAGCTGACACGACAAAAACGTAAATTTGGGTATACAAGGGGCTGGGGTGGACTCAGATTTCGCACGAAATCCCTCTAAATTAAGTTATAAAAACTCCGCTTACACCATTTCTCGTTTCTATTTTTGAAGCTGAATACAATTCCACAACCCGATTCGATCGTTTTATACCTCTAGCAGAAATAAACTTAAAAGCATTTCAGTATTAGCTCGGTCCAAAAAAATTCACCTTGATTATTGAACGAGAAAAAAGAACGATCAATTTAGAGTTTTATGGCTGTTTACTTCAGCTTTCACGGTGTCAAAAAATTACAAAATTCGCTAATGATCTTGAGCGGAACATCTTCCTCGAAATGCCGCACTCATCTTTAAAAGGAGAAAAAGCGTGGCTCTAAGTGCCATGCTTTTTTCTTCCACAAAAATTTTCCACCGATACTCAGCGATATGTGGAAAATTCATGACAACAGAACAAACATTTCCGCGAGGTTTTCGCTGCCGCTGTGTCAAATTTGTGTTCACACGCACGCTCATTCACACAGTAACAGGTGGTTCAAAATAAATGTAAACTACAATATTTTCATAACTCGCACCGCGGCGATGCTCATTTTTTTTCTGCTCTGGTAATTTTTTTCCTCCTTATTTATTATTTATGCTAAGCGGGTTCGAAAAAAGTAACCTGCGTCTTTATTTTGCTTAAAACTTTATCGTGGCAATTCTTTATTCCTAGTAGAACCATTCGCACACCGAAGGGCAAATTTTGCGGAGGGAACTTAGCATAACGCTGTTTTCACTGAATTCGTTATCGTTTCGCCGCTAAGCAAACGCTTCTTTTAGCAATACCTATTCCTTACATTTAGATTATCTAAATAAATAAATAAATGTACACATTCCTGAAAATCGTTTTCATTAAAAAAATGTTTCCTACCCGTTGAATTTGAAAAGCAAAAATGCTTAGGAGAGGTACAAAGCTAAATTCGCTAACATTTCAATTTACTTGAGAGTTCTTTCGTTATAATGACACTTGGACGTGTCACCAAAGCAGCATTTCCTCAATTCATTACAATAGTGCTTTGTCGCTGCGAGAGCGACAAGGAAAAAGCAAACTTCATTCTTTTGGCGCGTGTACCACATAAACAAAGAAAAATCATGCAGAAAACAATTTATTAGCGTCTCGATGTTAAATGATAGAAGCTTATTTAGGGTTCCATGCAATTTTCTTATTGAATGTTGTATCACTTCTCTTTTAAGATTTCCGAATTCTAATTACACTGAATCTCCCTCTTCTGAAGCCGAGTTTGCCTCCTGAATAACAATCTGTGGGGTTGTTTCATTACCAAATCTGCTGGTAAAAAATGTCACTACAGACACATCTTCATCGCCTGAAGTCGATCTATGCGTGTAACTGTCCCGTCCTCGGATGACACAAATGCGAAGGAAAATATCCTTGAAAGATTTTCTAAAATCGCTGTTAAAGCTCGAGTAAATAATTGGATTTACGGCCGAGTTCAGCAAAGGTAATACGTAAACGAAAACGATCGCCACAAATTGTTGTCCTTTCTCAGGAATCTTAAGCAAGCAGTCCTCGCAAAATTGTACTATAAACATTATAATGAAGAAGGGTAACCAACAAACGATGAAAGTTCCGATGACGATAGCGAGAGTCTTAGTGGCTTTCAGTTCGCGTACGATTGATTTTCGACGTTTACGCTCCGTCCGTCCAATATTTACGATGCTTTGGCGCGCGTCCTTTCGAATGTCCGCCTCAGATATCTCGCCAGGCTCCATCGCACTCGCTGATTTTAACAGCTGCAGTTTTTTAGCCTGTGTGAAGGCGACCTTGAAAACCATTGAGTAGTTGATAACGAGAATGGTTAAAGGCAGGAAAAAACCAGCAGTTATGGCGAACAAATAATAATAAGGATCCGATTTCTTGCACTCATTCGAAGAAATCGTTTCTGCGTCGGGGGACCAACCCGTGAAAGATAAAGCTGCTATGAGGCCAGAGTAACCCCAGACGAAGGTAATGGCGGCAAATCCTCTACTTTTCGTCATAATACTCCTGTAGCTCAGTGGGAAACTTAGCGCTAAGAATCGGTCGATCGAGATAAGGCTTAGGTTTGTTATGGACGCGCAGGAACACAGTAGGTCCACGAACACCCAAACTTCACAAAGAATCTGACCTAGATCCCAGCACATATAGTTCAGTGTGTGGTGAATGCGAAACGGCATGGAAAGAGCGGCGATGAGAACATCTGACACAGCCAAAGAGATGATGAAATAGTTTGTAACCGTGCGAAGCCGCCGATAATGTAAAATAGCACCGATCACTAAGCAATTTCCGCAAACATCAAGAATTAGAATAAAAATAACGAAACTCGCCTGGGAGATCGTAGAGGCCAGTGTATATGGCGCACTGTTACTATCACAAGAAATCGAAGCTTTAGTTCCATCTGTACCATTCATGTTGACAACTGGGTATGGTTGTTGAGTAATGCGCTGCGCGCGCTTGTCTACGCGTATTTATCAGGCTTCTATCAATAACAGACGTTGGCGATAAAACGCGTGTACGAATCAATTGTTGTCGCCAAGTGACGGTGAGGGCACATTGGCAGCGCTCTTAAGACAAGTAAGGGCGGTGACATCTATGCTCCGATTTGTCTCTCTTCTGACGTGACTATTAATTAGTCCATTTTTTAATTTTTGTATTTAAATCTATTTGGGTTGTGGAACCTCCTCGATCAAAAAAGAGGCTTTTATGAATGAATAAAGATCTTGCTAACACTGTCTTCAATTAGTGAGAGTAACGTGTTCCTCCTTTGCTTCAATTTCACATAACGAGCTTTCAATGGAGATTGCAGTATATTTCTTTCTCAATTTCGTACTTCTTTGTTAGTAATGATTTTGCTGTTTGAGATAAAGCTTGGCTAACCTCGCTGAGTTCTTGTTACCTATCGCAATTTCGAATTAGCGTTGACAATGAAATATATTTGTTTATACCTGCTTGAGTGAGGACCCATGAGGCGAAGGAAAAAATAATTTACGTTTGACAAAGATTTCTCCCCGCTGTCTTTCAAGACAGGAAGGGAAATGCAACTTACAAAAGTTGCAATTTTTGTTTATGGAAGAGTGAGAGTTAAAAATAAAAAATTGCAAGAGAAACAAAACGCATCAATGAATTTCTGACAAGTTCATGAACTAAAATTTTGTGACATTCATTACGGATTGTTTCAGTACTTCAATGCAAAAGTGCCTCATTTGATCTTCGACTAATTTACAAACAATCCGCTTTCAGACGCAGACATGTAAAATAATAAAGTTCTTTTACTGACGAGGGAAGTTGTTGAGTAATCCTAATATATGTACTGTTTGCTTTCGTAGAAATATTCCATTTCATTACGAAATATGTTATTCAAATATATCTCAGAGGAAGCGGTCAATATTTAGTTTCTTCGGCGGCTCGTTATTTGCTCGCCACCAAGGCCAACAAAGCCTGTCAATACTTGAAGGAAAGCAAGTGGAAATTTCGTATTATTTGTGTCTGTTTGTAAAGTGACATTACATCTTGTTTTAATCGATGTGGTTTTAGTTTGGGTTGTACCTGCATAAATCCAGTTTGCATATATTGACGAGCGAGTAAACTCATATTTCTGAATAAACTTTGTGAATTTCATCAAGATCTCATGATGATTTTTTTCTATTTTACGGAACGAAACCGATAATGCCATATGTATGTAAGAGCAAATCTCAAGTTTGTATGAAGGGTCGTGAAACTTTTGGAAAGTTCTCGGCCTTACGCCGGGTGATGTTAACACCACGGATTGTTGCCTTCGTGTAAGTTCAAGCAAGTACATCTGTCTGCTCCAATTCTGGCGCAAAATAGGACCAGAGTAAACAAGTCTGCGGATTGAAATTGAAAAGACGAAGGAATTATTCATTGTTGTTTAAACCAGACTGGGTGCTGTGTTTGGAACTTGGGGTAAATTTTTGTCCGCACCACGGCGACAATTAAAATGAGTTTTGTTTTAAAATTGTGGTTTAGAAATCGCCAGATAACAGCGAAAGCAAAACAAAAAAGGAGCGGAAAATAAAGATACTAAGAATCAGATTCTTGATCACCAATAACATGGTGGGTATTTCGTGGAATAAATATTTACTGCCTCGCTTATAGCTGATATGTAGATCCAAAATGCACTACAGTTATTTTAGAGAAGATGCCTCCAGCAATGCTACTGTGTTTCAGTCGGACGTAGAAACAACATACGCATCAATAATTTGGATTGTTTTTAACAATGTTCCTTTGGGTTTTAAGGCGCGTAATTGCTCCTCGAAGTGGAAAAAAGCAGCTGTCTTGGTTTGAGTTGAGGCAAACGATAATCAAAAGAATACATTGATCGTGCCGGTGCCCAGCAGGAAAGCTACAACTGGCTGCGCTGCTAAAAACAATAACATTTCAAAAGGAGAAGATAAACCAGGTAAGTGTTTATGATACTACTTGGTGTGTAGCTTCAGACTTCCACCACTAGCAGGTTGTGTGGTTTTTTTTTTTTTGACAAGCAGGATGCAGCTCCATTCGGATATCATTACGGCGTCGACGATATTCGATATTAAACATTGAAGACCAATTTGAGCTGCGGGTAACGCGGCACTCTTCAAGTAGGAATGAATGGAGACATAATTAAGCGCTTTTGCTGTTTAAATTCGAGAAAGTGATTTCACGTTTTTGAAATACGTATTTTCTTTTGGTCTAGGTGCATTTCAAGTAAAGATTTTTTTGTCTTCAAGAGATAAGATATTATATTATATTGATGCAGACTATGGAGTTATCAATTAAAATACCCAAAACCTACACGCACGTCTGCCCTTAATTACGATGATAAATCTACGGGCTTTTTTATTTCCGAAAGTATACCGCGTTTTAGAAAATAGACCCATACAGATATGAAGTATGCTTCAGAGTTCAATTTTACTCCTTATTTGGGTGCAAAATTTTGTTGCAAGCAGCTTTATCAGTATGCGTAATGGATCAGTAAAACGGATCAGGAAAAAAGTTCAGTAGCTGCCAGTTCGAGCCAAAAAACGAAGGAGAAAACACTTTTTAATTGAGATTTAAGATGAAACTTTTTAAAAAATAATGGTACAAGTTTGGATACAGAGTAAGATTTCTTTTCGCAAATATGGTTAAACGGTGCGTTAATTATCATGTTCGCTCGCGAACATCATAATTAAGGTGGAAAAGACAGACAAAAGAAAAGTAAAACCGCGATCTTAATATCTGCAACGAAGTCCAGCTGTGATAAAAATTGCTCTATTCTTTATGTTTTGGTTTAACATTTCAAAAATGTTTAAAAACCTCGAAGTTTTGACTATTCATGCTAGTTTTTTTTCTTTTTTAAGTGCGGTAACACACATTTGCGCCTAAGTTAATTTACGCTGGTTCAGCTGCATGCTAGTACTTACCTCAAAATAAGTTTATTCAAGAGTACTATGTAAGCTAATGAACGCACTTATATCTCGAATAGAGCTGGTAATGGCAGTGTTCTTCTAGAAAAAATTCAAATAGATTTAAGTGTTTATTCTTAAGCTGCATTCATCGGCCAATCAGTAAATAAATACAGAAGGAAAAAATCTTCAACGGCGCTAATGAGTCTGGCTAACATGTTTCATAACACATTTAAGTATCAAAGCTTTTAATACACGCTTACTGATTCGCTCGAGACATATATGGATAAAACGAAAACTTCCTGTGAATGGCATTATAATTTTTTTTTTATGGAATTCAACACAGGAAGTTTTTGGAAATTGAGGAAGACTCATTCAGAGAGCTATTAAAGATAAAAGATTACGCTTTATAGTCGTTTGTTGCTTTTGAAATTGAACGGTTGTAATTCGGTTCAGTTTCACTTCCTTTTTTTATTAAAATCAGCATCACTTTCCTCGATTATTAGAGCATTAATGTCCATTTTTCCTCGAACAGGAAAGAGCATGATATATTATTTTAAATATTATTTCCCAACTCATCTCGGTTTTCTGCTGTTTGAGAGAAGGGTACATGTTCATTCATCTTCAATTAACTTAAGCGAACTCCTTCAGAAAAGCTTTTTTTTTTCAATCAGCCCGACGTGAACTTTGAGAAATGTATATTAAACTACGTATTCAGATTATATCAATTGGACAGAGATCTCTGGTATCAATATCAACTCGAACGTTGTAATTAAAGTTCTGCAATCTAGTGCTCCGTTTCATGTGCATTTCCGAAGTGGCTCTTGAATTATGGTTTGATCAAAAGTCGTTTAAGTCAACAAAGTCGTTTTAAAATAGCAGAACAGGTTCATCGGTAAGCATTGACTCAAATTTCCACAGACTGCCACCGTTGTACATCAACGCCGGTAGAAAGCCGGTTGCATATAAGTACATACAGGAACTTCAATGAACTTACACATACAGAATATGGGAGTTTAGCGTCCTATCGGTTTGACAAATTCAATTAAAGAATAAGTGTTTTATTATCCAGTTTCTCTCTATATTTTGTACTCACGCTAACACAACCGTGAAAGTGAACTAATACATCTCATAACGTCACTAAAATTGCTTATTTTAGACGTCACGAATTGAAATTAAATGATTAGGCATTTGTTTTTCTGAAAAAACGCTTAGAATTTAAGATTAAATATGTAAGGGAGAAATACTCATCATGTTAAACTTCATCCACTGCATTAAGTTATTTCTCTCTTTGTTGATGTACATATCAGTTTCTCATTCTCGTCCATCAACAGACCAGCCATATGAAAATTCTGAAGCTATCTTAAAAATAATCGCCATGAAGACAAAACAAAGCACGCCTCTGATGAAGCAATTATAATGATAAAACACAGGAAGCTACGCAATTATTTTTCTTAGTAATGTAGTAAATTTTTTTCTCGAAGTTTCCTCTGGAACCATTGCTTTGTATCGGCGAGAAAGTGAGACTGTTCACTTGATTATCGACTAAATTGAGCTGATCTCCTTTAAACAATCAAACTGCATATCATATTAATTCCTTTTATTGATTTTTTTCTCTTTCTGGAATCCTTATTTTCTCCTTTTAAGCCCACATATTTATATGAACAGCGTAGTTGTGGGGGCTAAAGATGATCGTTCCCAGACAAAACAAAGCGTAAATGTAATTACAATGAAGAAAAAGCTGTTGTCGATGAATTAGCACGGAAGTTATATAAAGTTCTAGAAGTTTCTTAATGAACTGTTGTGACACGCACTGCTCATATGATTGTCAGCTGCAGGTTGATAAGGCTCCATATAAACAAACGCAATAAACTTTGACAAAATGACAGCTTTAAGATTTCCAATATGATAAAGCATACAGTAGCAGATCAACCTGATTATACCTTTCAATAAACGATCCCTTGTTGATAATCGGTAGGTTATTTGACATATAATGCAGAATATCTCATTGTTTTGAGAGTTTATTTAACACGGTAGGCGGTACGATATCTTAAACAATTTTTCACTGAATTTCTGACTTAATCACATATGGATATGAGAGCGATCTTCCCAGTGATTATCACTACTTAAGCAGTCGTAGAAATGAGGCCGGAAAAAATTTAGGCCTGTACGGGATTTGAACCCCACATGGACTCCGCGTTACGATACCGGTGCAGTGCTCTGTCAACAAGCCAACTAGGAGCTGGTCACTATGTTTGTTCGTAATAAACCCGATGAATAAATGATTGTGAATATATGAAAATCATCTTTGTGAACTGCGGATAAAGAAATGAATACGAAAGCGATCTTCGCAGTAATGAATACTGCTTGTAAGCGGTGAAGAAAATAAGGCCGGGAAATTATTTTCACTACTGCTTAAGTAGTGTTCATTACTGCGAAGACCGCTTTCATATTCAGTCCTTATCCGCAGTTCACAAAGATGATTTTCATTTGTTCACAGCGGCATTTGATTATATATCTTGAAATCCATCGGGGAACCTTGGAATATATTCTTTTCCTACTCTCAAAGTCTGAACGCTGGAAATGCTAGAAGCTGGCTCATCAAAAAGAAAAAAAAAACCTTAAATATCGGCGAATGGCGGAAATTCTTAAGTGATATCTTAAGGGCAGCACCGACAAAAAATTTATATTGTATACGAAATAAACCTTTTTATACCACAATCTTCGTGTCCAGCGGAAATAGTTCTAAATGTGAAAAGCCTGGTAACTAGTTAGATTTCAACATGGCGGGCAGAAATGTCTCGTATTTGAAGCCTAAAACACCTTCTTTCATAGCGCAGTTCAAGGAGAAAGTGGGATATAAAGAACCAGATACAGTTGAAACAAAATTCGAAAAGCCTAATTCGTCCAAGTTAGATGACAGGGAACTTGAAGACGAGAATCCAACCGTAGTTTTGGGATCCAATGTAACCCAGGCCGAAGCAAATGTTTACCTCTCGCGTTTAAAGGCGGAAGAAGAAGCCGAAAAGACAGGTATTAACAAGCATACGATCAGCTACTGAGATTTATGTTATGATACAATAAAAGGGTATATTTAGAAATTGCTATTGGCATGATAAGGTAAACAAAGAAAACAGTATGCAAACGCTAATATCTGCGTTATCATTGGATCGGTTCTCCTCCTCGATAGCTGGAAGAAAAGTGGATTACCTTAAGATATTATCTTTGTGATATTATTTAACCTATCAATTTCAATCATTTGTTTAAATATGATATGAAGGTTTTTTTCTGACCAATCAACTTCACAATGTTGTTCTACTCAATTATTTGACAGTACACTAATTACAGTGCAATATTTCTGTTTATTTTGTTGATGTACTTACCCAGTTAGATTTTAAAAACCACTTAGCTGTGAGGCCTACTTGTAGTTAACATCTATAGACACTTGTCTTTTTCCTTTATCAGAATTTTATGGCTAATGTAAATGTAAATCAAAAGAAGAAAAACCATGCGAATAATACTTGAAAGAATATTTGATGCTGATGAAAACAATGACCTTGCTAAATGATAAACAGGACTTAAATAGAGAAAGATGTTTTTTTTTTTGTCTTTTCACGAGTGTGGGACAAAGAAAAAAATTCTGAGTCCCTATGAGGAATCAAACCTCAGATTTTCATATTCTGTGCTCTGATGCTCTAACCACTGAGCCACAGAGACTCCACAGTGAGTGAGGTCTATATAATCTATTCTATTACCACATTCACACCAGCTAAATGCATTTAGTTAAACCAGGTCTAACTGAAAGAAAATCAGAAACAGAAAAGTGAAAAACTGAATTTCCAATAGGTTTCAAGTACTCATTAACATATATTTTCAATGTGCTAAATTTGAAGTCAACAAACATTGGTTAAGCAGCTTCTATGAAGAAAACAATTTTAAACCATGTTTGAAAAAGCAGCTTTAGCACATGTTTAAGATTTGGTGTGAATGGAGTTTAAGCAAAGAAATTTAATATATAAAACACTCATTATGGAAAACTGACCTGTCAACCATCCATTATTTAAATTCTCTTTAACATTTTCAACCTCTACAGGCATAACCCATGGGCATGGTAGATTTATGTTTTTTATGTTGTATTTGCCTTTATTAGCAGCTGTAATGCAACTATGTGGAGGATTTGAGAATGCTGTTTGATTTCATTAGCAGCTGGATTTGGGTTTCACTTCCCAAGATCTAATTGTTGACTCTCCCCTCCAGTTGCTACACTTTTCCTTGTAATTAGTTACAAAAATTTGGTGTTAGATCAAGATTAATCCGGAATTATTGCTGAAAACTCAGTCCTGTAAAACATCTTTATTTAAGGCCTCATATTTTAATAGAATTACAAAACTGTGGAATATTATGTGTAAAGTAGCTCCTCCGTCTTCCTTAGGTACTCTTTCATCCTTTAAGAACTTTGTCACTAATCACTATTTTAATTTATTAGCAAATGTTTTCGATATTGACCAACCGTGTACCTGGTCAGTGTTTATAGACTGTTCCTGCCATAGAACTCATTCGCACTGACTTAAAACTTTGTAATATTTATTTATTTTTTATTCTGTAGGGAGTTTCCTTGCATGGGTACTCACGTCCCGTTCGTTATCAAGTACGTGTAACTTCTCGTTTATTACTTTTGTAACTCAGTAGAATGCCAATAAAATTAATTAAAAAAAAAAAAAAAAAAAAAGATAACTGTTACCTGATAAGTTTGAGTATTCTTATTACCTGTTTGCTGGATAATGTATACTTATTATAGGGAGAAGTTACTTGTTAATCACTTCTGAGAGTTAAAGGGTTATGTTACTGTTTCATTTCCCGCCACCCAACTGACTTTCAGAAGAAATTATAATAATGATTGAAATATAAATAAATGATGATAATGCCAACATGTTTCAAAAACACCCTCTTGCTAGCAAAATTTTCCTATTGTTTTAGATGCATGTAATCAAGAATTAATTTATTAGAAAATTTTTTCTTCATTTTTTTTACTCAACAGAACAACTCACTCTTTTGCAAAAGAATGGAAATGATATATTTTGTGAGAAAGGCCTTGTCATAAGTAAATTTTGAGTAGAAGTTGGCTGCTTATTACTTGATATAAAGTAATTCTTGCAGGAGCAACTCATTCATATTTTTTATGTCAACAGAAAAGAAAATAAATATTTGTGAAGGAGACGATAACAGTAAAGATGGCGGGAAAATCGTTTTTAAAAAGCCAGGAAAGAGGAAATCAAAGGACAGCGAGAGGCAGTCGAAATACAAAGCAGATAATGGAAAGAAAGCAAAACCTAACAGTACTATGAAAAGTGTGAAAAACAAGACGCTTCTATCGTTTGATGAGGAAGAGGATGAAGACTGAAAAGTTACTTAATAAGGGTTGTTGTGGTGGAAGACCATTATGAACATCTCGTTTTAGGATGAAACTTCCAAGAAGAAAAAAGCCGACAAATTTGTTGGATACGTTTGGAGCTTTGGTGGTAGCGGGAGTAATTAGACAGAGTCTCAATACTCAGTGGTAGAGCATCGTAGAGCAGAATCTGAAGGTCTAAGGTTCGATACCTCATGGGGACTCATTTACATTATGGCTAATGTAAATGGAAATCAAAAGAAGAAAAACCATACGAATAATCCTTGAAAGAGTACTTGATGCAATGAAAACAATCACCATGCTAAATGAATTAGACAGAGTCTCAAGACTCAGTGGTAGAGCATCGAAGAGCAGAATCTGAAGGTCTAAGGTTCTAAGATTCCTCATGGGGACTCAAAAATTTTTTCTTTACTCCACGCTCGTAACAAGACGCAAAACATCTTTCTCTATTTCCTTACCGCGCTTAAAACTCTTTCTTATTCTATTTACAACAGCTTTCCGTGTTACGAAAAGGCTGTCAGAGAGGTTAAACCTACGGCGAATAATAGTTAATTAGTATAATTGCTCAGGTGCTTTCGAAATTTCCTGTAAATAAAAAGAGCAGAGACTGCGCATCTCTTGTTACAATTTTTTTTAGTACTCGTATCAAGATAAGAGCGCAGGTTTTTTAGGTCTACTGAATACAATCAGCCAAAAGTTCAAGTGTCCCGCCAAACCTACTGTTTTGATTGTTTTCCTCGTTCTCTTTTTGTTCTGTATCATTGTAATTTATGTCAAGTGTGTCTTCTACGTCAAGTAAGAGCCCCAATAAGGCAAATCGATCGTCAAATACCATTTCGAACCTAAAGCCTTAGGTTCGAAAGCCTGATCAAGACACAAACAAGATGGCAATTTTGACTATATTATCATTTTCATTCATACAAGTGGTGACGACCTTAGCGCTATATCCTAGGGTGTACAGTTTCACTTTGCGTAATATATTTTTTCTTCATAACATTGTCGGCACACTCTTCTCTCAAAAGTCGCTGATTATTTTATTTCGTTTAGAGAAATGAGCAGCAGTACTTTGTTGGAAATTTTTGGACATGTACTTTTTAGTTTCACGAAAAGTGTGACCGATCATTATAACCCAGAGGAACCGGAGTTCAACAACGAGTTATTTGGGTATAATCCTCTCGAAAGCACAGGTCGAGAATGGTATTATCACCCTGTGGATGAGCTTGTTTACCAGGAATACGGTGGAAAAGATTTAATCACGAGCACGAGCTATCTAGCTGCGAGCAGTCTTGATGTAAAGGTAATTGATGCATGTTCTACAGAGGTGAACGAAACAGAAGCGAACGAGATAAAAGTCGACAACAACAGTGGCACAGCTTGGAAGCGTTTGAGACCTTCCGTTTGCCGTACAATTTTACAATCGCTGTCTATCGGAGCCTTGATTTCATTGCTGGCTGCTATCATCTCAGGTGCGGAGTACATTTTGATCTCTTATCTTTGTTATGAAACTATCAATGTTTGTGAATTCGAACCGCAAAGGACATCAATTCCCCTTCGAGTTCAGTGGATGCGAACAATTGTGATTGCGATGGCTTATTTCTTTCTCTATAATTGGTTCTTTTCAAATGTGCTGCTACTTTTTCGCTTTTATCAACTACATGGACTGAAGAGAAAATTGTTTCTAGCTTTCTCCATTCCCTTCTGTATCGATGCTACCTATCGTATCACACTACAGGCTTTGGGAATGTCGTTTTCGAAACTTTCCTTGGTTCAAAATATTCCCACAAACATTAATTTTCTCACAAGCTTCGGTGTCCAAGTTTATCTCCTTGCGAAACATTTTTGCACCCAGTCAGTGAAAAGGCAGATCTCTTTGTTCTGCCAAATGACAGTACCTCTTTGCCTCACGTTTATTATCGGTATGATCTTCAAGTATCTGATTTATCCAGCATACATCAAAGAGGATACAAACGGTAAGCTACTCATTGCTGTATTCGCACCGTTGACTGGGGTGTTATTGAAACCAATAGCACGCATCTGCGCCCAGAGGCTATGGAACATTACCCATCCGGGTTACTCTTACGTGCTATCAGCGCCTTTGTATTACGGATCAGCGGTTGTCTTTCGAATTTTACAAGCGGATTTGGACAATTTATGGTCAATTGCGCTTCTTGGGATAATTCACGGAGCTGCAGAAGTTATAGAACGTAGTGCCATGGTTTTAATTGACCACATTTGTCATGTGCTATGCAAAAGAACCTCTGCTCCATTGGGAAGTTTTCGTACTCCCCGACGCGAAAGACTCATGGCTGACATCGCCATCATGAGCATGCTGTCTGAGTCAGCGGCTATAGTTTCTGTGAACGGCGTCATATACCTGTATCAATGGGTCTACATCGAGGACAGCTCGTGGTCAAAACTGTTGCAGTCTTTTGCCATTTTCACTTCCGTTCCTCTATTTATTGAATGGTTTTTTAACAGCATGTCTCTGGCGATCGAGACTCGCTATCAGAATATGGCTGTTATGGCTGTTTGGCGAAAGAGATGGAAGAGGCATTTTCTCGTGGCGATTGTCAACACGGTGCCGATTGCATTAACTCTCAGCACCAATCAGATAGCAGTGGTTCACGAGAGATTTGATCGAATTAGAGTCAAGCCTTGTAGAGTGCCATTTACACGAAACTTTACATCAACATCGTCGTAAATTTGCGCAGTTTCGAGAGGTGTAAGCATAATAGAGCCTTTTTTTTGATGAGATTTTAAATGCAAGGTTTAAATAAACGGCTTGGTCACCTTAGAAATTGAAAAGTGTTATATTGTGTGCTATTATAGTTTCACACTGGTTTTCGCGATCGCCTTTATCTTCCCAGACCTAATCGTATGAGCGGACACTAATTATAAAAAATCCTCAAGAAAATTGATGTTCAGTGCTTTGCATTTAAGCGAACGAGTATCTTTTCAATGAAACGTTTATTTATCGACCCAGAACTGCTTTTCATAAAAGGCATCAACCTGAGTTGTGCAAAATATTTTCAGATAAGGAAGAAGTGAAATACACGAAAAGTAAGTCGTATCACAAAATTGATACACAAATTCAAGTAAACAATAAGGAAAGGATTTTCTCATCAGCTAAAAAGCAACCGATTAATTTACTTTCAACCTCAGTGGAATCTTTCACTATTTTTCATGTAACGAGCTGAATTAAGCATGCATTTTGATTGGTTGTTACTCATGATCTATTGGTGGACAGACGCACAGATAACGTAACCATTGACCATTTTTTGCCCCTATAATTTAAAACAAATGGATTCCATTTTGGTGGGTGTCTGTTAAGCAATAGATCACACCCGAGTGTGTCACGGATGTTCTTACCACACCTGGCATCCTCTGTGATCTGTTACTGAACAGATGTACGGCAACATGCATGGAGTCTATTTGTTGAAAATAAATCGGTTATTTGTGATCATGATACTCAGGAATCGAAAACAAAAGAACAGAGCCATGAAGATATAAAAAAACCGGGTAGAACCTGAAAATAATTTCTGACCGGTTTCACAGAAAATATGGAATCAGAAAACACGTCTTCACGATCGCATGACATGGTCCGTGAGATTATTTTGCTATTCTTTAGGGTTTTTTACTTTCAATCAGTCAATCCTGTGAACCAAAAAGCTATTTGTTTTGTCATGAGTGTTGGATGAACACGAGGAGTTGAACTTCAGACATACGGAATTTATGCCCCGATGTATCCTTTCTCGTTGAAATTTTTTCAATCAAAATGAAACTCAACTTTTCCACATATCTTAAAAAAACCAAAATACTCAGTCCATCAGAGGGAGTCAAGCCACCTTAACCTTGTATTTGGTAAACAACGCAGATATGTCACGTTTCACAGAGAAATAAATATCATGTCATTTACGTTTAATGCAAAAGCGCGATGGAAGGCCACATTTATTTTCCTGCATAGGAGATAAACAAATTAGCTCTCCATGACAACTCACCATGACCATAACTTTCCCTAAGGTCATTTTCTTATTTCGTGCGTTATGCGTTTGCGTTGGGATCAAAATATCGCCATATTCTATTACTTTTTCACAACGAAATGTTTGTTTGGCTTTCAGTTCAATAGTAAACACTATGTACTATCACCTGACTTGATCCCTTGTAAAATTTTAATGTAGGGATTCCCTTTTTAACTTACATCACCAATCTCTTTGAATTTTGTTATCAGTAAAACGAGGACAACACAAGCCCCTCTTTGCAGGAATAACTTTAAAAAATTCTAATAAAAGGCCGTGTCAAATGTGGTGTCATTGTTACATTCGGTTTGCAGGTCATACTACAACGCAACGTTTTATAAAATGTAATGAATTCAAATTTAACAAGGTCTAATTACAAAGCTCTCTACTTCATTGTTCCTGTCAGTCAGTGTCGTTTGACCTTGATTTTATCAGTACAAACCTAAGGAATAGGTGACCTCGCTCAAAATTTAGGTTTCATTCAGGTGGCCTCGCTTTAATATATGGTATGGTTTACTTAGGTTATTATGATAGTAACATTCACTCTTGCTCAGCATGTTATATATATCAGTAGCACGAATGCACGTCAAAGACCTTCTTGGAGAAAACTTATTGTTCTAGAATTTCTTCCTAAAACCCCCCTACAGTCTCTCTATATTGTGGTTTTTTCGCGCGACACTTCTAAGAGAAAATTGTCCAGCAAAACTTGGCAGTGGAAACTCCAGTGACTCTAGGACGTTAAAAAAAAAAGTAATTTTGATGATAAAAAACAAACGTTGCACTCCTATTCCTCCACTTTTTTCGATGACAACCTGTGCATGTTCTTGCGTTTCCATATGTCATACTATGAAAGATCGACAATTCTTATTTTCGTTTTATTCTAAATTTCAATTACGTCAACTTTGTTTTAAAACAACATGCTATCTGAGGTTGAATTAAAGTTTCCTCGTGTTTCATCGCCTTTAAAGTTTTTTCCAATCGAACTTTCAACACATTTTGATAAAAAATGAAACAAAGCAAACTTTATTCGTGTAACTTTTTGTTTGAAACCAATTACGAGGCGCGTGACATTACCCACTACTTTTAGAATATCATCTTAAACAATAGAGTTGTGATTGCATATTTTAAAAGATCCTTAAGAAACCACGGGTTACACAGAAATGCTGCAGTTTCACCGGATCCAGCAAGGTTGAAAGATATGTCCTAACGTGTATTTTTTCAGTCTTGTTAAAGCAACAAAGAGTTTAACTACCAAACTCCAATTATTTGCGAAACGGCGATCAATTTCCGAACTGCAGTTCTCGTAAAGGACTGAAATTTGCCTCGAAACAGATCGTTCGTCGCGAACCTGACTTCACACAGGAAATCTAATATAGGGGATAATTTTTTAAGGAGAGAATCTTACTATGACAGGTTTCAGCATTTCTTCAACCTTGTCCACTGAAAACTTCTCGACGACTATCAGTGGAACAGTAGAGTCGCAGGGTGTGGAAATAGTTAAGAGCACGCTTTATGCGACGTGTGGTGTCTTTGGTGTTGTCGGTAACATCCTAACGACAATTATTTTGACGAAGATCAAGGCGAAGGAAACGAGAGTAATGGATTTCTACATGATTAACTTAGCCATAGCGGATTTAGGAACTTTGCTCTTGGCATTTCCAATTACCGCGATACGAGAGAGACTTCCGAATGATTGGCCATTTGGAGAGTTTGTCTGCTTGTATTTCCTTCCACTTACCGACATATTTCACGGCTCGTCTGTTTGGTTCATTACAGCAGCTGCCATAGAAAGATATCAGAAAATTGCCAGGCCTTCCAAAGTAAACGTCAAACTGCCAATAGCATTGAAAAGAGCACAGATCGTTGCAGTGAGCACATGGGTGGCGTCATTCGTGGTCTTTTCATTGCCGCTATATTTTGTTATTCGCTACAGAGAGGTTTCTAATGGAAGATTTCGGTGTGGTTCAGAGTGGCCTTCATTAGGCGCAGGCCTCGCTCTATCCAAACTTTACTTTACTTTCATGGTCTTTGTATCTTATGTTATGCCACTATTTGTAATATCGGGAACATTCCTCGCAGTGTCGCACAAACTAAATAAAAGCAGCAAGTTTATCCACGCTATCAATTCGCAACATGAGAAAGACAATGAATTAGGAAACTTACACGGTAGAAAGCTTAGCCAAACAAGAAGGCATGCTATTCGGCTCGCTCAAAACAGACGCGCTAAAATGATTTTAACACCAGTTGTTGGAGTGTTTGCTGTGTTCATGCTTCCGCTGACAATTCTTCGACTATGCGTTGTATTTTGGCCCCCTTTTTTCAAACAAACATTTTACAGCGACTTGCTGTTTGTGGTTTCAGTTGGTGTTATAATCAACTCGTCTGTAAACCCGGCTATATACTCGGTGGTTAGGAAAGACTTCCGCCGCCAAATGGTCCGATTACTTTGCTGGAAGAGAAGATCATCGCGGGGCCAGAAGCGTAATCGAGCTCTTGTTTCTGTCAAATTGGATCTCAATCGGATTTCTCGTTCTTGAATCAGAGATAAAGTGAAATCGCGTTAAACTCGAAGAGTTACATTCAGCTGCTTTAAGGATTAATTTGTTTATTTTAGCACGTTTTTGATTGACGTTGTTTATCGAGTGCATTTTATAAAATAGCCAACGTTATATAGTATAGTTGTTTTAAAAGCATTCGTCATATGTTACAAACAAGAATTCAGCATAAATCTTTCACATTTATAAACTACTAGGATTTGATCTGAAATAAAGGTGTTTATCCGAATGACAAAGTTGTGCATTCAGCATATAGTTTCACGACAAATTACCTTACAAAGCCGTAGGAGATTGAAATTGTCAGCCCAGACGTGCTTTACCAAGTTCAACCGGTATTGAGTACTTTTGAAAACGTATACAGAGAAGTCGAATCTAAATATAGAAGGGTTAAAAAGCAGCAAGAAACATTTACCGACAGACTTATTGAATCGGCGTCAGGAGAATTACAAGCAAAGAATCAAGTAATCGGTGACGAAGCCAAAGCTAATTTTTTAAAATGCGCAGAACAGTTCGCCATTTATCAGAAATCATTCGCAACTGAAAAGCCGCTGTTTAAACACGAATCACTTGAAGCAATGACGTCAGCAGTAATAACAAAAACGACCGATGTTTTGAGTTTGCAAAAGTACGCAAGCCACGGGCTAGAGAAATTGTCAGTTCCTACGTGGTATGGTGTTAGAAAGTCTTGCGCAACTTGGAGGCACGAGTTTCAGTATTGGATGAATAAGTATAAACAAGACAAAGATGAACAATCGTAAAGGCTTCGGAAAGCATTACCCACCCAGGCAAAAAGTCGTTTTGGTCGGATCAAGTAAGGCCGTGCAAAACGATTGAACAGGCGTAAAAAATTCCCGACACCGAATTTGGAGATCAAACGAAATTAATTGATACGCTCTTAACCGAAATTACAAATCTTAAGCCAATAAAGTGCGACCCGAAATCGCTTTCTCGCTACGCGGCTAGATTCTTTGTTTCGTAAGCAACATGGATCAAAACAGCTGCGCAGTGACAAGTGCCTTAGAAGCACCCTTTGTGATGTCTCAGCTTTTATCAAAGCTAGATCCAAAAGATGACATTGACTTTGGCCGAGAAATGCAACGCGTGAAAAATGAAGAGAACGTTCTGAACCTAATAGATTGGTTAAACAAGGAAGCAAGCTTGCGATCTCGCGTCAAAAGGGATGCCTGCAA